TAATATCATTGCATTTAGAGATTACTATGACGACTTCTTATTGTAAGTAGGTATTAAATGAAAGTGGTATGAAATGGGATCTTGGTGGATGGAGTTCAGTGAAGGCTTGAAGCGCAGTTTTGAAGAGTTTATGAATTTTATATATAATTTCTGATGCAGAGGAGGAGGGACATGGTATAGTCAGTAGCTTGATCAATTCCACACAGACAGTCAATATGCATCCAAAACTGCTCCTCAGATAACTTTTAAAACATATTAAAAATGACAATCAAGTACTTTTTCTAGACACCCAACAATCAGTGATATTCTCACAAAAGTATTTAATGTTCAATATCCCAGCACTTACTCACTCGCCTCAAAAGTCACATTATATTATGTTGAGGAATTTTCGTTTCAGCAAAACAGTTACGAATCGAAACCCAATAATCGCTTCTGGAAAATGAAGTAATAAGAGAGATGCGAGTGAGATATAAAACAGTTATTGTGATGATATTAATTACACATCGTTTGTTTTGTCGCTCGTTTTTCTGTCGATTTAGCATTTCTGTCGATGCTATAATGCCTTGTAATTTTCACGATTGAGTGCATATAAAAGAAGTGATATATCCAACATTGTTTTTTTTTCTGTTTCTTTAAAATTGTTCAGGTGTATACACAGTAGAGTGATATCAATACAACGCATTCAAGTTCGAAGAGGAAATTGAGATTAGTGTATACTTGCAATGCAGGGTTGGAACAGGGATGCTTTCTTGGCTGTCGTAATTGTCAGTGTTTAGATTTAGTGTAGACAATAATGAGAGGTTTATCTGCGTATTTAAATGTCATCTTGATTAGGACGGTCAGTATACCCTTATATGCTCTATCTCAGTGGTGAGCAACCTTTTTTGTGCCACGGGAAACCTTGGTGGTAAAGCATGACCAAAACCACATGCGATTTGTGGATATTCCTAATTTTTTCAAGACACACAAGTGTGCCGCAGCAAAAGGGTTGGCCATCACTGCTCTATCAAACTTTAAATAATGCCCTTTTGAAGTCAAGATCTATGCGTCACCTACATCTAAGCCTATACTCTATCAAGATTTTGTTCGTTACCTTACCTGGACCTTTTCCAAGCCACACATATGTTTACAGCTAAGTTTAGGTCTAGGTGAAGAGCATGGGGCAGAACTAGATGTCTACCCTACCAACACTGTTTGCAAATATATATATATATTATACATGCACCTTATATTTTATTTTTACAATAACGAAATTGGATAATTCAGATTATTTCATTATATCATTGTTATGCAGAATAATATGTTTGTTATTTGATACTTATTTCTGTGTCGTTATTTTTATGCCAGCTCATTCGTGAAATCTCTGACTTTTTTTTCGTATAATGCATTATTGTATATTGATAAAATATGTAAAACAAAAAACCGGCTCACCACTCTAGATGTGATTTCGTCTTTTGATAAATTAATACATGAAAATTGATTTCCGTTTTTTATTGCATGTGCAAGTTTTAACGAATGAGCGACTTTTTAACCACAATATCTTTAAGGTTGGCGATCCATACAAGGATTTTATTGATTTAAACAATTAATTTGGATGTTTTATGGCTTTGATTAAATGAGAACACGTGAGAGGGGTCTTGAGGATGAGTTTTTTGAAATTTATGGATGTGCACACTTGAGATGATGCAGTTTTTGGTCTGTTTGATGTCGTTTTTCGAGAAATCAAGCCGTTTGTAAGGATTTTGTATTGTTCGTGACGTTTAGCTTAGCTCTAGATCTGTTAAATGATCAACTCATTACAAAGCCAATTATCCAAAAATTTAACATCATTGCGTCAAAATCACATGACCAATTGATCAATCAAACCGAAACAATTCAATCAAAATTACCAGAATATTGACACGAGTCAATTCCAGTCTAATAACTTCCATAAAAATTATTGAACGTCTCAAAAATCGAAAAATTGCAATCAATTAATGTTCCTTCTTTGGACGCGTGTAATTGCTTTCAATTCGTTTTAATTGATTTCAATTGTCATTTCTGCTCGTCCACTAGTAGCGTGTTAACTGCAATCACTTTTAATTTTTTCGGTCGATGAAATTACACATCCATGTGAAGCGAGAGGAAAAGCAAAAGGACCCCGACATATCAAACAAGATAATTAAATTGCGTAAATGATTAAATGAACTACAAAATCAATTTAAAGAATTTATTCGAGAATTGATGGAATGTCTTTGATCATTGAAATTGATTGGAATTTGCGAATTTGCCGCCCCATAACAAAGTATAAAGAATGATGGAAAAACACAAGAACGAACATTTTCGGTTCACTTTTTAATGCTACTGAAATGAATTTCAATCAATTCCATCTACTTCATGTGAATTCGATGGGAAAATTTTTCACGGCAATTGCAGAGCATAATGACATTTAATTTGATGGCGAGAGACAACCGACTGAATTATTCTTGATGAGATTTTATTGACAGTCGTGATTTTGAAGGTGAACAGAACTTGATACAGGAAGAGGCTGAATTTTGGCAGATGAGAGGAGCAAACTTAATAGTGATCATGATAAGCTGGAAGATTTTGGTGAGGTCTAGATTGACTTTTAAGGATTCCAATTGGATCTTTTTTATGAACGCCAAAGAATCATATTCAAGGCGGATTAGCTGTTCAAATTAGCATTCTGTAAAGTTTTAAAGGAACGTTTAAAAGCTCAGTAGTAAAAGGATGCGAGCTGAGATCGTTGAAACGCAGGTTCAATTCTTAATTGTTAAATCTGAAGTTTGCTTAACTCTGAAAGAAGCTTCCTGACATTATGCAGCTTTAAACTGATTTTGTACTTAGTTATCTCAATGTTCCCCTTTGATTTCCATTTCAGGCTTGCCAGTGAACTTCAAACTTAGCTTCATGTCGACTTCTCATCATATTCATCACAACAAATCACACCAAATATAATTCTACATCATAATTTTCAACGTTAATCACCAAACACCTCCTCTGAAAAGAAATACTTACTCGACATTAACAGTTTCTTCTTCCTCCAGCAAGATAATTTTTAATGAACATTACATTCCGAAAAAAAAAAACATAAAAATTGTCGTTGAAACGAGTATAAAGCTTTGTTAAAAATTATTTAATGTGCCATTAAACTGCGATTATTGAACATGAAAGCAAAAATTTACCGACATAAATATCTCCGGCAAACAAATAAAGTGGCATCGAACTTAAATTGCCGATGAATAATTTTTAGCGATGAAATCAAAAAAATAAGTAATGTAAATGTGAGGAAAATATTTAATCAATCTATAAAAAGAAATCGGTTTTTCTTGTGAACTGAAGATGCTGAATAAGAGCGTAAAAAATTATTTAAAGAGATATTTGAAGTGATAAGGGGTCATGCACTTATGACGTCCAGGGGGAGAAGGAGGGGAGGGGGGTTTATAAGAAAAGATTGATAGAAATTCTAGTAAATCCATTGTTCTTTTTTGTATAATGACCGTTAATTTTGAACGTCATAAGTGAACAACCCCTAAGTTAAATGATGGCGAGACTTGGATGAGTTAAATCAATTGAGAGTTTAGATATAAAGTTTGAAGAATTTATGGATGATAAGATCATTAAGACTTACTAAAGTAATCTGTCTGCGACGGGGAAACTTTTTTAACGAACCATGTCTATAACTAATTCGAACTGAGATTCTGAATCTGAATTGATTTGATTGAGATCTTATCCATGAAACGATTCTGTCTAAGCGACGAATCAAAAAGCTTTTTCTAACTTGGGTTTAAAGTTATATGTAAGGTACCTAAGACAAAACCGATGAAAAGAGTGGAGAGGGGCTCTGTTCCAAACGTTTAAACCTCCTTTCTTTCAATAGAAATTAGAAAAGTTCAAACAAACATTAAAATCATCAAAAATTTCAATAATTTTTTTGAACGAGTTTAGTCTAAGATTGACTCGTTCATTTCCCGAGTGGACAAAGTACTAGTTAAAAGCTTGCCATTGACTTGCCTTTTCACGGCGAGTAAGTATCCATTGACGTGCCTTTGCAACTAGACTTAGGGACGACTAATGACATATTTTGCGCTTTCCATTTAACTGGACATAGGAATTGCACTTATGTCTAGTTAATGTCCAGTTACAAAAAAATCGAAATAAAATAAATAACACGTGTCTTTTTCTCCCTATTTTTTTTTTTGTAAAATTTTATTATTGTATTAGTGTAATTAATTAATTAAAGTACACTATCACTTATGAAAAATCTCTAGTAAAAATTGAGTCTCGAACACTGACGCGTGAAACAATTATATTTACTTAAAAGTTTCATACAAATTTTGGTGGACCTTATATAAGTGATTTCTGTAAGCGCTTGTGAATAATATGGTCAAAAAAGTAAGGAAAATTATTTTTGAGTTTCGAGCACTTGATTGATTAGCATGAATGTCCAGTTAAAGTCTAGTTAACGTATAGTTCTCTATGTCGTATATATTTTGACAAGTTAAAAGACTGTTAAATGATTGTCCAATAATGGACTTTAACTGGCTGTGTCCACCCGGGTTTGCATTGCAGAATACATCGAACAACATAATTTCAAGATTGAAATATTTCATTTCAGACCAACTGGCTCCATCTTTGAACTAATACTAGCTACTCGATATCAGTTTAATGCCATTTGATGTAATTTTTCAGCTACTCAAAAAATATCCCTTTTTTTTCTCAAATCTACTGCCACTCAAAAGTCCATTGAGTAGCCAAATTTTGAGTAGAGTAGCTAATATAGCAGTAGAATAGCCAAATTTGAAATAGAGTAGCTAGTAAAGCAATAGAATAGCTAGTAAAGCAGTAGAATAGCCAAATTTTGAGAAGGATAGTTGAAAATTTCAAAAGTAAAGATTTATTCGAGTAGAATGAAAAATACTGCAAACTCTAAATAGCTTGAGTAGCTGAAAAAGACAGAAATACTTCCCAATTCTAAAGAAGAACTAGTCAAAGATATTCACGGATAATATGTTTAAAATCTATATTTATTTAATTTTTTAATTTGTATCTTTTGAATGAAAGACCTTAAAATGTTATGTGTCAGAACATAAAGTATTAAAATATTTTCTAAAAAGTATATATTTGTTTAAAAAAAATCAAGTTCTTATTCAGCAAAATTATAAAGAGTAGAATTTATAGAAATAATAAAAGGAAAAAAATTATTTTTTTAATCTTTAATTCTCAAACTCAAATAAAAACATTAAATTTAATAAAAAATAAGAAAAAAAAACTCATTTTTCTCGCAAAATATTTTTTTTTTGTAGTGCTAATAAAGAGCTCTTAAATGTAAATGATCAGGCTCATACGTTTAATCGAAAATTCTTAGTGGTCTGGAATAAATGAATATGGAGTCATAAGCAAAATTATATTTCAAATTGTTTAATGCATCTAAAAGCAAAGAGATATGAAAAACTAAGATTATGAAATCTTAAAAATATATTTAAAGAGAAAATCTATGAACCTTTAATTCTCCCCTGAAAATATAGAAGAAAAAAAGTTTTTTTGTATCCGTCAGTATCGGCAGTTGTTGTGTATTAGTCATTATTTATTTACTTGGTGCGTCCGCGTAGTCCCTTAGCGCTCGGTGTTAAGTTCTTACGTTCAGTTGGTGGTTTCCTTGGTGATTTAGGTTTTGTAACCTCTTCTGTTATTTTCTCCAATTTTGCTTGAATGACACGTGGTACTTTGTTTTTGCCAAGGAACTGGAATTGAGAATTATTTTATTAGAATCCAGTTGTTTAATGATTTAGAAATTTAAACAATTTCAAACTTAAAATAAAACTTACATCATTAATGAGTTTCGTGCAGCTTAAATTTCTCTCTGGCTCCCATGTATTCGACTCTGGACCATAACCTTTCCACATGACGAAAAATTCCCACTTTCCATCACGTGTGATTTTCGCATCGAGTATTTTTGATACTTCATATTCGCCTGACATTCTTGCTTTTTTGGCTCCATAATCAGAATCATCAGAATCGTCACCCTCTTCATCAGAATTATAGTCAGTTAAACGTTTTCGTTTCTTTGCTGGTTTCTTTATTTTAATAACTTCCTTTTTGTTTCCCTTTCTTTTGTTGAATGAGCGAATCAATTCAGGACAATTGAGTGTTTCTTCTGGTTCCCATGTATCATCAGATTCTTCAAATCCCTTCCATCTGATCAAATACTTTGTCTTTCCTTTCTTCGTACGCTTATCCATGATTGCCTCAACTTCATATTCATTATTTGCTTTCTTAGCTTGTTCTTTTGCTTTCAACTTTTCTTCTTCGCGTTTTAAGATGTTTTCATTCAATTCATCGTGATATTTTTTCAATAATTCATTGCAATTGAGACTTTCTTTAACCTGCCATGTATCATCTTTTGCTGTATATCCCTCCCAACGAACACGATAGTAGATTTTACCATGTAATCGACGATGATCACAAATTGACTCAACCTAAATTAAGAGAAGTAACATTTAGATTTAGTATTTGTGTGAAAGTTGATAACAAGATCCAGAGAGCATCATAAAGTCACAACTGGATCAAGTTCAAGATCAACTTACATTAAAAACATCCTTATTTTCACGTTCTTGCTTCTTCTTATACTTTTTAAGGAGATCTTTGCAACTCAGTTCATTAGCTGGAAGCCATGTATCCTCACCGGGTCCATATCCCTTCCACCGGATACGATAAACAGATTTTCCTTTTTCTTTCTTGTCATCAACAATAGCTTCAACCTGAAATTAAGTAAGTGATAAGAGAATGTCAATATTTAGCTTATTGGAGTCCAATTAGCAGGTAGCATGCATGAAAATGGTTACAAAGTAAAGTGATTTGGAGAAAATGAATATAATTTGTGTTGATTGTCGTAGGGTATGTAGAATATGGACGATAAAAGAGGAATTAGTAAAGGCGGGAAAGTTTCTGTCTATATGTTTACCAAAAGATTCAGAAATGAATAGGATTTGGTTTTTGAATTGTTTTTTTTGGGTGGTCATGAGGTAAAATTATGTTTTTAGTCAACTTAGTCCTTATGAAATTCCGAAATATTATTAGAATACGATAGAAATTTACTTTGATGTTTCTGGATTCATCACAAAGATTTTGTCCCAAACATTGAAAAATTAGGAAAAATCTGAACAAATAAAAAATATGAAATAGAATTTTGAAAGTTTCAGAAAACCAAATTTTGATTAATCTTTCGAATTATGAATGAATTTAAGAAATATGCAGCGATTTTGAACAAGTTCTTTCAATACATCTCAAAAGTGTAAATATCTAGAAATTCATCAATTTCACACATACATCTAAAGATATTCTTAATGTACGCGAATACTATTGAACTTTAAGATTCTTAATCGAAAGCAAGATACAATTTTCCAGAAATATACTTTTTAAACTACAAAACAAATCCGCAAAACATCAAAAAATCTAGATTTTTGACAATTTCATCATCATATATGAAAAAGTTTCGAAACATTAGAAGCCCTACTAGTTTACGGTTATTTGTATAGCTGGCAAAACCAATGTAATTAACGGAATAAGAAGAAGACAAACAGGAAGAAATTCTGATAACTTCAAATTTCTCAAAACAAAAAGAATAACTCAAGACTTTTTTTTTGTCAAAATTTTACAACATCCAATGGACTTAGCATTTTTTTCCACTTGAATCTTAACCGCCATTTTAGCTATCGCATTATACTTTTTCTTGACTTTTTCAATAACATTAAAAAATTTGTAAATTAATCAAACCTACCTCATATTCACCGTTCTCGTCTGGTTCTGGTACTTTATCGCTTCCTTTCTTTCCCTTCTTTTTGCTGCTTGTTATTTTTAAGATGGTCGATTTTGAGCGCTTCTTAGTTTTGGTGCCCTTTTTCGGCGTTTTATTTTCTATAGTTTATAATATCCGTTTAATATCACGGGATTTTATGGATCAAATATTTTTATAGCTTACCACCGTTTTGTAATGCAGGCGATGATTCCCCTTGAGCCAATGGATCAGAGTCTACCGATTCCATAGAATCTGAATAAATTTTTTGTTTCCAAACAACAGTGAAAAAAAGTTTTAATGTTAAATATTTGACATAATTTTTAATATTTAATTATTTTTTATACCTTCATGATTATTGGATGTCTCCATTGCAAGTTTTTTTTTGTACATACACCTTCGAGAGACCAAATGAATATAAGTATTTACTTATTTTATATTTTATGACGCTATAATAAGTTTCAAATTGTATTCATCAGTAAACTTAGCTAGCTGCTGTGTGAAATGTGTCCTCAACACGTGCACTTTGGCCGTGTGCACTAATACATATCAATGAGATTCGTAGTGGATGGCTGTATGCACGTGTGTTGAATGGAAATCAAAATAAAGAAACTTTTCGAATGATCTGTGACTGTTAATTTCAGTAAATTTAATTAAATTTGTTGACTGAGTTGTTTATTGCTTGTGAGAAGAAGATGATGACATTGGGTGCTTAAAATGAATGAATTGTTGTATCTGAAAATAACGGAAGAATTTTTTTTGAATGAAAACCATACAAATTATTACGAAAATGCTTCAAAACATTACAAATGTTTTCTAGAACCGTTAATAAGAATTTGAAAAGCTTATATGTTGCCACATTTTGTATATAAAGTTGATTTAGAGAAAACATCATGGAATCCAAGGAATCTGCAATGATAAAGACTGTTACAACTCATATAGAATCCTACATTACTATCCTTTTTTTTACATTACTATCCGCATTAAAAATGCGTATTAATTGACAATCTTCTCTTTTACTTGTTTTAAATATCTTTCAACCGTTATTTCTGATCCATGGAAAAACCGAAGCAAAATAATGAAAATAAAACAATTATCTCTCATCATAACAAGCTAATATAATTGAAATAATACAAATCAATAGAAATAAAATCTTTTCTGTAGTCATAGACAATTCATTAAGGGTATTTAAATAGTTTTTCACGCACGAATCAAATTATAAATAGGACAGCAGTGACATTGGATTGAACACGGCAGGACAAAAAGCTATGATTTGAGAGAAAATCACTTTTTATCGAGCACTTTTGATATTTCTCTAATTAAAAATCATTTTTTTTCGTAATTAACAACTTGATATTCAATGGCAAAGTAGATGTAAAACTTCTGAGTCTGTTAGAGAATATCTGGATTGTTTGTGTCATAAAAGGTAAGTTAAATTTTCATTAATTTAACAAACAATCCATTTCTCGTGTTTTTTCTCGCAAAAAAAAAATTGCAAAATGAGCGATTCTTGAAAAAAAGGTCCTTAAAATACACAACTTATCTATTTTCTCTTATAATTCGTAGATTAACTGTGAATTAAAGACTATCTAAACAATCACATAATAGACATCAAGGCAATTTTATTTTAATTAACACACGAAGAAAAAATAAGCTCGAAATTTGTGTTTTTAATCAAATGTGCAAGGAAATTTTCTCTTTACTGGATTAAATAGCAAGTTATTGAAATAATTAACAAATTCCCTCGTACCGTATGTGTTTGTATGTTTAATTTTGCTATCATCTTGACGACATTAATTGTGTGTCATATGCTGTGTTAAAAAAATTGAAAAATTAATTAAGGATGCACACGGAAATTACAAAAACAACATCAGAAACAAAACTAACAATAACGTCAGATCCAGGCGATAAGAATCATAGTAATATGCAGCAGGATAAGCAGATTGATGAGAAAAATTACGATCGAAAGAAGAGATTGTCTTCAAATGATGGAAAAGATTATCAAAATACATCACCGCGCCGAAATAACAGCAATAATAATAACAACAACAACAATATGAATAGATACTCTAATAATCGAATACCGAGCTACAATGGGAATCGACAAAATCGCAATGGTCCACCACAGCAACAACAACAGCAGCAGCAGCAGTTTATTAACAATAATTCAAAGCCGAGATTAGACACAAACAATAATAACAGCAATAAATATGATAAAATGCAGCATAGTAATTATAATAGTTATAATGCAAAAGTTCCAACACCAGCAACAAACAACAACAGTAATAATAATAATAATAATAATGCCATAAAGAGTGATAATTATCAAGAAATGAGTGCTAACAATAATCAAGTGAAGAAGCCAATTCCAAAACATCGAATGGCAAAGTCAACGATAAATGCAAGTCCAAATTATGATGATTATTCTACTAACAAGACGGTTCGTGTTGATACACAATTATCAAAAGGTGATAAAAACGTCTCTGATGATTCCGGTATTCATTTAAATACAAGCGTAAGTACCACAAAGAACAGTGACACGAGATTAAAGTATGATCAATTAATGGCTGGCGATAATGAGATAATTAATCGTAAATATTCAATGGACTTCCTTCAACATATCGGACATCAATTTAAGAATATCTCGGCGATTCAAAATAAAACACCACAAAAGCAGCCACAGCAGCAACAAAAAGTCCTTGACGATAATAATGTAATAGCACTTAAGATGGCATTTGGTGATAATTCAGGATATTATAATCATTTATATTCCGGTGCGATGTATACGAATCAGTTGTTCTTTCAACAGCAACAACAATATCAAAGTTATGCTCGTTATCAGAATCAACATATGCAGCAGAGAGTTCGAGTATATCCGCGTCAAGATAATACCAATTATCAAAGGGTTTACCAGCAACAAGATCCCCAATTGAATTGTGTACAGCAGCCGCCTCAAAATTCATATCATAATGCATATTATCCTCAACAACAACAACAGCAGCAGCCACAACATAATTCCTTCCAATATCAAAATCATCGTGCGAAACAAAATCGCGATCAGAGCCGTAAGAATCGTCAAAATGGCAATAATAACAATGCAAATAGTACAAATGATCGTAATAATTTTAATAATAATAGTAATTCTAACAATAAGAAGCTAAGTGATCAACAAAATGCTCGACTATCTCATTCAAAAAGTGACAGTGCTCAATATGAAGAGAATAAACGTAAAAATCTCATGTATGTTCGTACAAATTCCGAAGATTATCGTAGTTTATCACCCACACCGCCATCGTCTGTTAAATCAACGAGTCCAGGCATTCAGGAAACTAATAAAAATTGTGATACGAAAGAGACAATGACATCAGATATGATTGATGATTCAGCCTCGACTACATCTTCACATTCAGCAATGTCATCTTCGAGTGGATCAAAGGAACTTCCAATAACACCGACAATTCTGCTCACACCAACATACACGGATAATGAGATGACGAGCAATAAGGAGAATAATGTTAATTCCTGGATTAATAATACTAATTTTACACCGATCAATAATGTATTAAGTGCTAGTGCTGAGCAATTAAATGTGCGACATGTCGAGACGCCAATAACAATCATTAAACGTCCGCCGTCCGTAAATGGAATAACTACAACACCAACACATCCAATTCCGAGGAATTTTACATTACCAACTTATGATCCAACATATCCATTTGAGTACTATTATGCACGAGGCGAGCGATGTGAAATGCGTGAGGAACCAATTAATTTAGGCTGTGGATCAATTTGGGATCATGTGTCGTTTGAAATATGGAATAAGTTCCAGCTATATCAGCAAACTCGCGAGACATATCGAAGTAAGATGATTTTATGGCGTGATCTCTATGAATACATTAAGGTAAGTTTGTGGATTTAAATCTTGCCGTTAAATTTGAATCTGCACTAACACTATCATACATTTTTCAAAAAAACGTGCGTTTAGAAATTCAAATTTTGAAAAAGTAGGACTGTTCTTATCATGTGGTTTAAATTAAATCCATTAGGATTAAAAAAAGTTAATCTTCAGATTAAAATTTTAATTCAAACACAATTTTCATAATTTCTAGGGATTTCCACTATTTCAACAGCGAGCATGTCCCAAATGGGGATTATTTCTGGTTGGATCAACGATTTCTGGCTTCGGACTCAACAGTTCTGATGTAGATATGTGTTTAGTACTGAAATCAGCACCACAATTGGATGCAAGGACTGAGGCAATGATTACATTAAGTGCATTAAAGAACTACCTCTCAGACAGTACGGGTCGATACTTATAAAGTTGACACTGAATATTGATGATTAATTGACATCTTTATTTCCAGGTCCATTTCAAGGATTCTCACTGATAAATGCAAAAGTTCCTATCTTAAGGTTCCGTGACGCAACAAATACGATTGAAGTGGATTTAAATTACAATAATTGCATAGGCGTTCGGAACACACATTTGTTGTATTGTTATGCACAACGTAAGTAGTTGACGCAAATATTTAATTCAATAAATAAAATTAATTTGTCACATATTCATTTCCAGTCGATTGGCGTCTTCGTCCATTAGCAATTGTTGTGAAGCTTTGGGCACAACATCATAATATAAATGATGCACGAAATAGTACAATATCAAGCTATAGCTTAGTCTTGATGGTCATACACTTTCTACAATCAGCAATTTCACCGCCAGTCCTTCCATGTCTTCATCAGAAATATCCGGAAAAGTTTCAAACTTTGCATGATATTACAACGATTGATATGATGGAACGTCTTGACACTGATTGGAGATCTGAGAATTATCAGTCATTAGGCGAGCTGTTTCTACGATTTTTAGATTATTATAGCAATTTTGAGTAAGTTTTGGAGACTTTTGAAGATCTTTTGCTGTAATTTTAATGCATTTTTTGAATTAATAGTTACTCACGAAATGCTATATCAATAAGAACGGGTGGAACATTGTCGATTGAGGAATGTCGTAACGTGAAAACTCCCAAAAATGATCCAAACCATTGGCAGACATTATGTATTGAAGGTATGTATTGTTTATTATTTGAATATTTATAATGTAAACAAACTGAAGAGCTCGTGCAGATAATTCTAATAGAATATAAGAAAATGGTACACGTGCAGTGCTTAAGGGGAAGTCATAAAAGCTTTTAAAAATATGTTTGCAAGACAGTTTTTATGTCAGTGAAGCTTATCATTTTTTTGCCGATATTTTTCAAAGATTTTTTGACTGTTAGTTTTTCATGAGTTTTTTAATTCAAATGCAAACCACAATAATTTATTAACTGGCAGACGTTTGAAAGATGCGTTCTCATCTGTAGCAATAGCTTCTATGTTGTATAATAATAAGCAGAGGTCGAAGCGAACTTGGTTCGCCAAGTTCGCTTCGCTAAAAATTCAACTTGCTAAAGTTGACCTGTAGCGAGAATTTTTTTTTTCTTTTCGCCTTAGCGAACCATAGCGAACTCAATTTTATTTTTTTCGCTTTAGCGAACTATTAGCGAACTTAATTTTTCAAAGTTCGCTATAGCGAACTATTGGCGAACTATAATTTTTTGCAATTTTGTATGAAATTACATACTTCACAAACGCAATCAGACATCTCTTAATATGAAGCCAAAAAAATTTTTCTAGTTCGCCAATAGTTCGCTATAGCGAACTTTGAAAAATTAAGTTCGCTAATAGTTCGCTAAAGCGAAAAAAATAAAATTGAGTTCGCTATAGTTCGCTAAGGCGAAAAGAAAAAAAAAATTCTCGCTACAGGTCAACTTTAGCAAGTTGAATTTTTAGCGAAGCGAGCTCGCTAAAAACTCGCTTCGCTATGCTCGCTTCGACCTCTGATAATAAGAATGGCTTGAGGATATTTTCTCAAGTGCTTAAAATATGCGTGAACTGAAAGATTTTATTTAAATTTGACAATTTGTGAAGCTTTTCTAACGAAATTAAAATATTTATAAATTCTTTTATTTCCACAGAACCATTCGACTTAACAAACACCGCCCGATCAGCATATGACGGTGAAATATTTGAGAAAATCAAGTCCGTTTTCTTTCAATCGTGGTGCCTTTTGCGGGAATACAAAACACTCGATTCGCTGTTTCAGGAACAATTGTTTGTCCAACAAACATTACAGCAGCAAATGCTGAATGACATCAAGTACATCGTTTATGCACCAAATCCAACGCTGAACTCATCGCCATTAATTACAACGAATCAAATGAATTCTGAGATTGCTTCATGAGGTATGAGAATGAAGATAATGTTGAGGTTTTGAGTGGGAAAAAAATTTGTGTATCGTGAGCGTGGAATTGACTTGTGGATTTGCGTTAATCACAGGATTAAGGTTTAATCTTGGGATTAAAATTATTACGAGGATTTAAAATAGTCCACAAACCAATTCCACCTCACATTCGTCCAAAACGTCTACGTGTGTGTTACCAAAGATTATCCAAAAAAAAAACCAAGAAAAGAAGAATAATTTTGAAAAAAAATATGTGAACTTAAAGGTCTAAATTTTTACATCCCAAAAATAACAAAAATATGTGAGAAAAATTTACCCAAGACTGATCAAAAAATTTTATTGGGAAAAAATTAGTCTTTGTACTTAAAGTATGTATAGGAATTGTATAGTACTTTATCTCGTTGCAAGAACTTGTGAGAAACATTTCGGAATGGATGCAGATTAGTTGAAGGGGTGAAGCTGAGTTTATGAAGTCAATGTGGAATTGATCTCAAGTCATTTTTAACGGACTGTTAAGTTTTGAATTTTAACTGACTTCCGCACCTAATTTGCTTCCATCCCGATTAATCACTCGAATCAAAAAACAAGTCATGTATGATGTAAATAGGTTGTAAGTAATTGTAATCACTTTAAAATTATTTATTTATCTAGGCTTAAAAACACTTTTTTGAAAGGAAAATCAAATTTTTCGCTATTTTTTTTTTCAAATTGAGGAAAAAAGCGCAATGAAGAATATTTTTTAAAGAAAAAACTTGCGCTTTTGTTTAATTAATAATCGCATTTTTCTTTCTCTTGGATAATGGAGTAAAAAATATATAGAAAAGTCTAGTCTTTAGTGAAGTAGCTAGAATTAACAAAGAAAATCAGATACATCATAATAGTTAATTAATGTCAGGTGTGTAAAGGCTTATGTATTTGTAGTTTATGTAAGTTTTGTGCCTCCCCAAAAAAATACAACAACATTAACTCGAGGATAAATTATCTTCATTTTTGTAGATTTTAAGGTATTGACGTAAAAAAATCTGAATTTTTTTCTTCGATAGTTATTTTGAGGATGCTTTGGCTGTAAAACTTAAATAAGGCTGAATTTTTAGTCTAGAGTTCCATATCAATTTTCTAGTTGAATTCTTTTTTGATGATAAACTTCCAGACAATTCCATTTTTCATTCAATCAGCGACACAATGTAGTCAAAGCCATTTTTGACTCACTTGTGATTAAGAAATTCTGCTTGAGAGCAGGGCTCGTGAGGAGTAAAAAACATTTTGATTTTCTGAAATCTGTTATTTGTGTAATTGAAAAACATCATGATTTTTAAAATTCTACGTAAATCTTCACATAGGATTTCATTACGTAGACAAAATCTCAACGTGATGATTTTCATTACGAATTCAAAATCTTTCCGCTAGGATTTAACCTACGTGAATTTGTAATTGTTTACATTTATTGCCAAAGTCCGTAGAAGACATTTTGTTGTGTCACTTAAATTCCTCATTATTCCTGATTTGATGTAGAGCATAATATTGTTATTAACATATACTTATCTTTGCTATTCCGAGCTCATGTGTCAATCTTTGTAGTATATCAACATATTTGATGTCCTTAAGGCATTAGTTTTGTCAAGTTTAAATAAAAAAAATCACTTTCCAAAAAATGTAAACAATTACAAATTCAAGTAGGTTAAATCCTAGCGGAAAGATTTTGAATTCGTAATGAAAATCATCACCTTGAGATTTTGTCTACGTAATGAAATCCTATGTGAAGATTTACGTAGGATTTGAAAAATCATGATTTTTTTCAATCACACAAAAAACAGATTTCAGAAAATAAAAATGTTTTTTACTCCTCACGAGCCCTGCTTGAGAGTTGATTGGAAAGTTTTGTGAACATTTTAAATGGATTTAAAGTTTAGATCAGGATGAATTTGATAAGATTGGGATTGTTACACAATTTAGCATCGTGTAAACTTTGATACCAAGGACTAAGGATAGTTAATGAAAATTCGAAATAGAATTTTCAACAACTTTTTTTGTTCGAAAAGTTTCGCGGCAAAACTTTGAAATTGTTATTTACGTTATAATTTTTTTTATTTTATTGTTTTTACAATACTAAATGAATTTGTAAAGATTGAAAACTCTTTAAATATATTGTATTTAAGTGGTTTTAGTTTTATGAGGCTGTAAAATGATTTTTTTGATTGATTAAAATTTTATCTTCCAATTTTTGTAAACAAACAAGTTTGTTTACAATTTATGACAAAAATTATCAATTGCAATTTTTTCATCTATTTGAAGCATAATTTAAGCTACGACAGTTGCAAATCTTTTATTATCACTGAAAAATTATAGCAACATGCTTAAATAGAACCAAAAATTACTTAAAATATGAAATTTTGAGAATTTATGAAAAAATTCATTTTCGAACTTTCGTAAACAACATCGAAAAAAATGCGGGTAAATTCAAAATATTTTTAATTTAACTGACAGCGTGCTATCCATAGTCCTTGGCTTTGATAGATATTAATCTAGACTTGAAATGCTAATCTGTTGGTATGACTTGAATCATTAAGCTTCCTTAAGCTTTTCAATCAATTCTCGACTTTCTTAAATTCCATTGCTCAATTTCATTGAGTTTTATAAACAATTGACCCCATCACTGCCATATATTCCACTAAATCGACCCTTTTTAAAAGTAAAATGAAAAATTTTAATGTTTAAGAGAACATGCATCTTCAAAATGACTAGACATTAGTTAAATTAACAAAAAGAAAAAGAAGTTAAAATTAAGAAGGCTGTGAATCTAAAAGACATAAAAAATTGTAATTCGTTCATTAAATTATGAGACGTAGGAACTTAATAATTATCATTTTAACATAATCATTTCTCGTTCTAGATGTTTAAGTTACGAATATTAGAATATTTAGTGATACAAGAAGTGATGATTTTCCAAAAAAAAAATGAGATAAATGATAAAAAATTGTGATTTCAAGGAAACAAAAACAAAAAAAAAATTCAAAAAATTTCAAAAAAGCTCGTGAATCATCATCGCCAAGCAATTCTCATCGTCGATCACATCTCAAATGTTAATTTTTCTCTTTTCCATCCATATATTAGAAGTAATTTTTGGACAATCATTGATGCGAATATTTTCTGATCTATTAACTTAATTAACGAATTCAAGAAATACAATAATAGACACAACAATCAATGGATATCCGCAGATTTAAAAAAAAAAACAAAAAATCAAAAAAATTAAAAAATTGAATTTAAATATTCAAAAAAAGTACAAAAAATTTCAAAAAAACCAAAAAAAATAGAAAAAATTCAAAAAATTTCAAAAAAAAAATTCAAAAGACAAAAAGCCCAAAAAAATTATACAAATGTCAGAAAAGATTTCCGACAATCTTTGTCCAAGCAAGCCAATCATGTTCAATTCTATTTCTGTTTGTGGCTATCAAGTTTTAAATCGTGTGATTCGCGTCACTTAAAGGCTATATTAATTGGAAAATGCCAGTCAAGAATTAAGAAAACTATTAAGTATGAGTGCGTGAAAAAATATTATTTTCTCTTTTTTGTTCAATGTTTAACTCTTTTTTTATTATATACACAAATTTTCTGTGAAATTCTCGTGTCTCCGATTCTTAAGGAAGTGCTGAGCTCCCAAAATGTGTTAAAATTTTATTTTCATTCATTTTTTTGTGTCCTTTTTAAATTGATTTCTGGAAAATTTATATTTTTTTTCATCTGCACAGTTCCAGGAACTGAGCTCAGCAGGTACGACACGAGGATTAAGTTCCTTTTCTGATTTAACTATGTTAAAAAAATTTCAAAGAAATATTTCAAAATCAACAATTTTTTTTCTTCTCTGTAATAATTTTTCTTTTTTGCTTTGTTTTTCTTATTTCTTTATTAAAATTTATATTTCAATTCCTAATTTAAGACACTTTTTTGGAACATTCTTGTATTTCATTACTCAGCAATAAAGTACTTTACCGAGATTAATTCTATTGGAGGTTTTTATTGACATTAACATTTTTAACAATGTTTTATTCCTCTTTGCAGTTTTATAGGATTCCGACGATAGAAACGACTCTGTGGCTCTTAGTGAGAGATGTAAATTAAGTACGGAAGAAAAACATCAAGCAACAGATCTACTGATTATGAACTTCCAAGAAATTGAATCATAACGAAACGAACAACATCCTTTATTCAAATATTGATCTAGTTAATATCAATAAGCCATTAGTCCTCAAAAACATGTGTATATAAGTGCTTTATGCTAAAGCACTTGTGCATCTTCACTTTAATACAATGTAAACTTTTTCTCATGGTAAACTTTAAAGCTTGACACACATATCTGCATGAAACATGAATTGCACACAGCAAGTGCTTCAACATTTAAATTAAGGAAGTGAAAGTAATAAATTATTATCATATTGTTATTTTCACGTGTACATGAGGCATGAGGAAATTGTTTTAGCAATAATGAGTACATGTCCTTGGACAGGACTGTGTTAAAAGTTTTTCGCTGAATAAAATCACCCGGAAATAATGTGACTACATCTGGGAAAGTTTTAATAATAAAGTCAAAAGCAGTCGTGGATAGTGTTATGGTGCTGATAAGTATGCTTCAAAGTTTTTGTCAATTTTACATAATATGAACTTGGCTGTGACAAAATAGACAATGAATGATGAAAATAGCCAAGATTCTCAGTATTGGAAACTGGATGAGAATGTTCTGGGACTCAAACGTCATTCAGAGCACTAAAATCACGAAGTGATCAGAAAAACACAAGTATTGCCAGAAAGTGTCACAAAATGTTGTCCTGATCTAACCGAAAACTCAACATTTATCTGCCAGATATGTCCACACAAGAACAAAGAAGCCTGTGTCGTGTGAAAAGGTCGTGAAATTGTTTTTTGATGCCACTATCATCAAGTTTCATACTTCGATGTCTAAACAGACTTACATCCTTGATGAAACAGTCAAGATGATTATTAATTTGATGGCATTATGAGACAAGACATGCTGACACGCGTTATTGAACTTTCGATATTTTTAACGAATTTGAAGACATGCCTTTTTTTGCTCGTGAATATATTACATCTTTGTGCTATATAATTTGACCTAAATTTGCTTAAGAAACATGCAAAAAAATTGGACGTAATTCCTTTAAAAGCTGATATGGAAATGACAATTTGATGCTTCGAAAATTTGCTTTAAATCATCTGCTGAGAAAAGTACTTGAAGATTTTTTTGGTCACGTAAGGATATATGACCCCGATACATATTATGGAAGCATTAACATACTTTTTATATCACATAGAGAAACAGTTGATTCTAGCCTGTGTATGGATCTACTTCTGGTATGTAAAAAGAGATTATGAATTGATTTAATGGGTTGTTTAGGAATGAATAATCCTAATTGGGATTAACTGGGACTATAAATAATCTTATCATCCATGCGTTCCAGTATTTGATTCAATATAATTATTACAAATTCATAATTAAGGGTTTAATTAAAATTCTTGTTAAATGTTTAATATCCATTCACGTAGTTGATGAACGTCATTTATGAACAGCAACTCACAAGCTTTTGATTTTAATGAGCACAAGACGGTAATAATGTTCTTTCAAAGTTCAAACTAAAACTTGATAACACACATCATGTCTTATTCCTAGAAACTGGATGAATCTTCCACAACTAGGCAACATTTATTCAATTAACAATTGTAATTATTAGAACAAACTTTTTGCTCGAATAGGTCACAAGCATCAGCATCACAATATGAATATATATCCGCATTCAACATGCCTAATAAGATAGAATGATTATATTGTCTATAATTTGGAAACGTTCTTCCTACAATTGCTTGTTATGCTAAGGATAAATATGAGCTTTACGGTTTTCAGATAGAAAATGATTTTATTTAAGTAGGACAACTGATTATGCCTTTAAGATTTATAAATTCGATTTGTGGATAATTAATCTAAAGCAATTGCTAATAAACAACCTAGCTAGTTCTCAAATTCAAGTTTTTACAAGTTCAATAAGATTTTTCATTGATTTTTTTTTTCAATTTTACTTCAAAAAGTAAAGAAGCAACCAGCAATTAAGTATGCTCCAATTCCAGTCGTCAGAAAAAAGGGAAAGACTGTAATTAAAGTTGAAAAAACAACTCGTACAAGTAAAATCAAAGGGACGAAATTATGAATTTATGGACGTGGAAAGAAATTTAAATTAATTTGTTCATGATGCTACGGACGATTGTGATGCTTGTTCAAGGAATTGGAAACTCATTGCTATGGATCGTTAGATATGAGTCACTTTTTACTCTGCTAGCTACGTGTCAGCTTCTGGATGACCCTTCTTGACTCTGAACATATTTTGAACTGACTAAGGATAATTTCTGCTGCTCCAGGACATCCAAGTTTTTACTACTAGAATGCCTCGATACTGGAATGTTAGACACTCCATTTCATTGCATTCTACATAACCTCAAAAACTAATATTAAATATGTTACAAAGTTTTTGTCTAGTCTATTACACAAATCTCGCAATGTAAAAGTTTACTGCCACAAAGATTCATTCCATTTGATGCCATTTCATTCAAATATATTAAATTAAATGGAAAATAGCATAAGGATTCATCATATGAATACAGCTACAGCTCAACGTTTCACTAGCTTTCATTGCTTTCATTTTTATAATAAAAGAACTATTCAGAAAATATTTTTATGAGAAATGATATAAAGCATTCGGAAGTTCAGTCAGTATTAGTTTTTTTCGGAACAGAATTTTTAAAGATTTTGATTTGTGTGCTGTAAATGACTTTTCATTGGAAAATAAGCAGAAACTTTTTTTTATTTTTTTTAAAACTGTTTGATTGGGAAACTTCATCAGGTACCCATAGGTTGTATAACTATGAAAAAGATTGAGAATTAAGCCTGGATCTCATTTAAAATTGTATAAAAATGTCAAATAAGTTCATCTAATCATTCAGTATCATCATAACAAATCTATAGTGATCAACAGTTACATAATCAAAAACCTATCAAGCAACATGGAAAGCACATTCAACGCCGATCCTTTGGAATATTTCCCATACGAAGTATCTGAGAGAATTTTGTCATATTTATCTGTTAAGAACTTAATGAGAGTGTCAGCAGTTAATTCATTGTGGTATGATTTTATTGGACAATCAAAAAGATTAATGAAGAATGTCAAGATTAAGATTCGTAATCAGGATTATAAAAAACGAACAATTTGCCATCTTTTAACAAGTACAAGGAACTACGAAACATTTGAAATCGACACAATGGATCTAAGAAGTATCAATGTAATTTTTGAACTGTTACAATCACAACAATGGAGGAATGTAATCATCAAAAATTTGTACTTTACGACTGCATCACAAGCACACATGTTCTTCTCATTAATTCAAGATAGTGTCAGATCTTTAGAAATGAGAGGAGCCTATATCTTATATCCAAATGGAATTGACAAGAACCATGGCTTAGTGTTTCCTAATTTAAGGAGATTTACAGCGATAACAACAAAGTCTGCATACATACTGCTTGAAATGTTTCAAAATGTTCGACATCTGACGCATTTTAGCTTAAAATCAGCTGAACTCAACGAAGCTGCTTCAAATGCAGTCATGGAAATCCTCAAATCAAATGACAAATTAGAGGTTTTGAATATTTCAAATGCAGCCCTCTTTCCACTTTTATATCTGGATAAAATCACAATTCCATGCAAGCTAAGACAATTGTCAATTTTAAATGAAAATAATCGAGAAGGTAGGAAGAACTCTGAAAATTTTATCGCATTGCTTCAAGATCAACGTGAAAGCTTGCAGACTATTATACTTGATAAATTGTTTGAAGAAGATGTCCTTAAAGCAATCTACGCATTGCCTAAGCTCAGAATGCTGTCAATTAAAGAATTTACAAATATTGATGCTTACAATAACTTAATGCTAACCAGAAGCAAGTCAATCAAGCAACTATACATCAATGTGCTTCCTGAAAACTTTAATTTACTCAAGGCAATTATTGTTGCTACGCCAAATTTATATTCGCTGACGGTTCTACACATGAATTATAAGTTTATGAAATTCATCAGTAAGAATTTACCAAACCTTAGAGGCCTGTCAATTGGCTTCCCTAACATCTCATACTTACCACGAGGTGATATATTCAAGAATCTTGGATATTTGTATGTTCAGAACTACAAGCCATCCTTGAGAAAAAGCATTCTTAGAAGAAAGTTTCATTCTTTAAGTAATTTTGAACAGTTGCTGTTCCGTACTCTTGCATGAATTGTCCTGAAATTTGTACATATTTAAAAATTTGATTTTTAATAAAACGATCTTGATTAAAAATACATTATTGATGTCTATGTCCTTACTTAAAGCTAAGCATACACAAAAATTTATTCAACTACACTTAAAAACATCAAATTATCCCTTACAGCATCGGAATAATCCAACAACTCACGTCTATTATAGTTCATCGGACTTAAAATGTTTGAACAGCACTTCCAAAAAAAAAACAAAACAAATTTCTAAACTGAAAATAAGTTAAATGACTGGATATTGGTATTGACTGATGTTTGTAAACGCATGAGTTTCCTTCTCACATCGTGTTATTTGATTTATTTGTATTACTGGATATGCTTGCTCATATCCATTTCCACCTTTCATTCTCACGTAATTCTTTTGTTCCTCGTGCTTCTCGTTAAAATTATTACGTTGTAATAAAATATTCGACCGAAAAACAATATTGAATTCAGCATTAATTTATTGCAAATGTTTTAATAGATTATTGTGGATGTAAAAGCATTTATTATTGGCTATTCGTGGTTTTAAATAGAAATATAGAGCCATGAAATTGTTATGGATATTTTATTTGAATTTTGCTGACGTAAATAATTTCTAGGCTGCATTTAGCTTTTTATTGGTACTGGTTTTTGGATGAAAGGAAGCTGATATGTTGTAAGGTCTTTAAGAGTGACTTTAGAGATGACGACAAATCATATAAGTACCAATCGGACTAATGAGTCTTTCTCGTGATCTATTGCCATCTTCAAAGTCGGTTACTCAAGTCCAGTTCATCTCAGGCGATTGACTTAGAGAACCTTAACAATATAAGCATCCTGAATGATCATCTTGATGTCAAGATTAGGTTGTCTAGGTTTCAAAATCAAATAATTATTTAAATCCTAAGTTTTAATATTTAATTCGGGAATTACAATTCAATTCTAAGAATAACATTCGCATACATCTGTTTCCTAATCTTCCCACAAACTTAACATCATCAAATCCTTTCCCATCAAAATTCAAGTGCAAAATTCAACGAAAACAGCTTTTATTGATCCACAAAATCTGAAAATAGCATTAAAATTTCCATCGAATTCTCAACAAGGCGCTTCCCAGATTGCAAAAATCTCAAAAGGTAAAGAGAAAACAGAATTAAAATAAGCACATCCTTTACCTCATTGTTTATTACATCATTTTACTTGGAATTTATTTCAATTGTGCGCTTTTTCACAGCCGTTTGCTTTTTCTTCCCATCCACAATAGAATAAGGATATAAAAATTGTGGATTTGTTGACTGAGAAAAGCTTTTATGTCGATGCGTATAAGAATAGAATCAACAAATGCTGTACCGAGATATAAAAGAACAACTTCACAACATTTCAGCTTATAAATCTGCATGAAGCTCTGGAAAAACAAAAGAAAAAGCAAAAGTTTTCAATTTACAGATTGAATAAATTCGAATTGGCATGGCATTGTGAGTGGGTTGAGCTAGCGAACTTTGTTTTCTGTTTAGAAATTCTAATGAAAAATAACTTGATGAATTTGAAATTCAGGGAATGTTTATGGAGCATTTTAATTGGATTAATGCAAGATTGTTGCTTGCTTAGTCTTTAAAAGTGTTTCTGGAACTAAAAAGTAAAACTTTGTAATTGGATTTATTTGGATAATCTGGTACAAGTGAAAAAAGTAATGATGTTACAGTTGGGATGGACTTATAGTTTTTTGTGACAATAGTTTAGTATTCTAATGTGTGATCTAGTAAGAGTACTTTGCTACTTAAATTAACATATACTTAGAATTTTTATATCTTCATTAGTTTGAGAATTATAGCAAAAATCGAAGTTTATCTACTAGATTTGGCTAGAAAATTGAATAATTAATACTTCTTAACGAAAAGCAAAAGTTTAAAGTGCACAGAAATTTTAGGCATAGTTCACTCTATTATAATCCAAAATTAGAAATACCACACCTCCCATAAAGTTGTAGATATTTGCAAAAAACTAAAGTGGATAATCCAAAATCGAGGATAATCCACTTGAGTGAAACAGGCCGATTGATTTTGAGCTTATTTGTAGCTGAAACATCAGTTTTTCTGTAGCAGGTTAACTCCATTAAGTCGAGAACAGTTTAAGATTCTGTTAAAAATGGTTCGATAAGTCCGTAGCTTTCAGTCACGTAGCCAAAAATAATTTGATTTTGAATTGTTGCCATGTTGGTCTTCCTGATCATTGATTGTCATTCTTATTGTAAGCAACATTTGTATTGAATGAACCATCCCCTAAACCTCAAACTAGCTTTGTTTATAGGATGAAGCTTTTAATAATTCCATTTTCTACTAAAGCCAAATTGAGAACTGCACATCCAGATTACTGACACTCCAAAAGCACACTATCCTCAACTTTTCAATAAAACAATTAAAATCCATTCATTTTTTAAAAGCTGTGCGAAAAAAGAGCCACACAAAAAAAAATTACCGACCACATGTTGAGTTAATTCCATTCAATGTTTACAGGATATTCCCTTCGGCATAAAATCCTTAACGCTGTCCGAACAAATTCAACAATAAAAATTCCACTTGCGCTGCAAAAACAGACAGAGATTAATGCTGATGATCGAAAAACAATAAAAATAGCTTTTTTTACATTTTTATACAAAATTTATTTATTTTATTATATTTTTTTTTTGAATTTTTCGAAATATTTTTATCTCACAATACCATTACAGTCATGAATGCAAAGGACATTATTTTGTCACTTATAATGAAATTTTTTTATGATACAGTTCTAAGGGATTTAAGTCAGTTGAGGTGCTAATGAATGATTTTGTGAGTTAACATAAAATTAGAAGAAATTGTTTAAAATTAAGGATAAAACTTAGGAAGATACTTTGTTAAGAAGATTGAGAAGGAAGGGAGTTCTTGAGAAGGTTTTAAAAGGAAGATGAAGTTGATGGCAGTCCTGATTGAAGGATACAGTTTGTAATTTTGTAGCAGAACTTAGGAGTCGCTGAAGTCTTCTAAAGAGGGATAGGAGTCATATCTAGGCTGCTGATGCTAAATAAGTTGAATTTCTCAATCGGATAATCTTTTTACATAAAAATCATTAATATAGCTAAACACAACCATCAATCAGGATTAAAAGCATGCAAAATTGTTAGAAAAATTGTACAAAATCTGTTAAATTGGACAATAAATTTACAACAATGGAAATATATTTTTTTTGACAGGAAGGAATAAGGATAAAATGGACTATGAAACCACATTCATATAAATAGCAATAATAACATTAATAATTACAATTAAAATAATGATTACAAATGACATTGAGCAAATATTGACCAAAAAATATATAAAAATTGAATACCCGGACTTCTTTTAATGACAAATGAATGTTCATTTACATGAATTTATTTTAATATTAATAATTGAAGGTAGTCGATGCAATTGTGTTAGGATACTGGATTCAGGTCAAGGAACGGATGATGAGGGATCATTTTATTATACAAAAAAAAGGTTTATCACTACATTTAGGCGATAACAATGCGATTTGAATAGTGATCTGAAAAGAAGAAAAAAATGGAAGATTTAATAAAAAGTCAAATGGGAAAAATTTCATTAAATTCTGCTTTAAGGCTCTCTCTCTCCCGTTGTTCTTCTTTGTTGCTTTCAATATGCTGGATAAAATTCAGAAGAAGGAAGAAAATGACGAAGCTTTAAAAAGGGAATTGAATTTTTGAATCGCAAGGCTTTGTTGCTATGAGTAAGCTATAAGCTAAAGTAGTTCGGTGGCGGAATGGTTACGGACTTTGCTAAATAATTGTTGCAATACCGACACAGCGATTCTCGGTTCGAGACCAAATATGAGAAATTTTTCAAGTGTCCTTTTTCGAATCATATGGACTGGAAATGAAGCTTGCAGCCATCCTTTGAAGACTACAGGCAACAATTCCTATATTAAAGGTTTTATTGACTATATTAAAGGTCTTTATGGAAATTTGAGTGAAACATGGACATTTTGTTAAGCACATGCCTAGTTATAAGGGGGAATAGTGGAACTAGATTGTAATAAGGACGACTTATGACTACTAAGTGCAACTATTCATTCCTTCAATTACACACATGTGAGGCAAATTGTCTAGCTGTCCCAGCGACTTCACATGATCCTGTAAATATATTTCCAGAAGCTTGTGTCTTTTCCATCCTTAAACGAATTAACAATTTTGATGCAGAATTGTTCCTGAGATTCAGACGAATGTTCTGGATACTTTTTTTTTCGTGAACACCCTCTTATTTCAAAAAAGAACCAATTGATGATCTAATAACCATCAGCTTCTAAGCCTTCTTCACAACCTGCTAGTCCAGCAATTTTATATAGCATATTGAAAGCAAGCCAGAACTAAAATCAGAATAATAAAGTTTTTATATGTGGTGCATTTGAAAGAAAGCAACAAAAAGAAAATTGTCATTTTACCTATGTCTCTCTCTTATGTAGTATCATAATATGTACAGTATGTATATAAATATTATGATATTGTACATTATGTCTTGTGTGTTGTATATGTCTGTGATTGTGTATTCTGTGATTGTATTTTTTTTTTGGTCAATTCAATTCATTTGTTTTTTTATTTTAAATATTTTGTAGACTGACATATATTTTTATTATGCTGAATAAAAATGTTTCCAGTCTTTTGAAATTTTTCGTCATAGCCATTATTAGATCAGGAAAGACGGGAGAATTTTATAAAATATTTTTTTTAAAAAAAAGTTTAATTTATTATTTTTACGGTTAGGTTGATGGTTCTTTTTATCTCGTTCTAATTTCATATGCTATGCTTTTTTGTATCTCAAGTCCGTTATGGTTCACAATGCCATCAAGTAATGTAATTGGTCCCGGCAATGATGTCGCTGTCGGTTGTGGTTTTGAGAGTTTAAGTCTCATTGAATGATATGCATCATATGCCTTTGGATCAACGATAATGGACTGTTTTTGGGAATAATCGGATGAAGGAGAGGAATAAGAAGATGGTGGACCGTACTCATTATCGGGTACGCCATATTCATTATGAGGTACGCCATACTCTTTTTGTGGAACGCCATATTCTTTTTGGGGTGCTCCATACTCTTTATGAGGCACACCATACTCAGAATGTGGAGTTTCATGGCTTGGAAGATACACAGGACCATCGAATGATGGACGATTTTTAAGAGGCTTAAATGGTGGTGGTCGAATATCATTAGGAATTGGGATTTGATTGAAGGAAATACCACTCGAATACACATGACCGACTGTCTTCATTGGCTTATGTGGAAGATTTTTTAATATTTCCGATAGCATATCCGCATCGTCGCTCGATGTGTGTGTCTCGGCAAATTTGTATGTGCCATCTAAATAATGTCATGTAACAATAATAATAATAATAATGCATAAAATATTCACATTTTCTTATACGGACATGAAATGGATGGAAAAGGACAAGGAAGTAATGGTAAATGCAATGGCATATGTAAGGAAATAATGGTAAAAAATATTTCATTCTATTGAGTTTGAACAATAGCACATTTGTGGATTAAACATTGTTGGAATTTGTTTTCATGATGGATACATGCTGATAAGCAGGTACTGTATAACATTTTATATTCTGTGGCATTGTAATACTCTCAATAGGATACTTAAGGTATGAAAAGGAAGTTTAAACATACTTTTTTTTCGAGAAAATTTAAAGCTTTGTTTGTGTGTCGGCTTACTTACTTCTAAGTGGGTTCATTCGTAAATGATGTCTAATTTTAGATTAGCCTTGAGCAATAGGAAACTCAATACAGGTAGAAACATGTGAAACGTCATTTATGGACGACCTTTTTCTTTACTTCCAAAAGGTTATTTACAAAACGATATTTTGAGCTTTTGTTTAATTTTGCATAAGCTTTTTGTATTAGAATTATCTGCATAAGATGCTTATTATTTGAATGATGTTGTTCTTATGGTTTCAGATATGAATTGAACAACATCTTGTCAATTCTCAATGGTTTTTGCATCACACATATTTATATGGCTTTTGTTATTGTATTTTATGCAAGAAATTTATTTAGAGCTTAAGATTTTAATCTGAGGAGTAATTTTTTGGTTCTCAAATCTTCAAATCCCCCATTAGTTGTTCTTATTATTTGCACCATTAAGACTTAGTAGTTTTAGGATTGAAATTAAAGGTTTGAATGTTTTAATTGGATTTAATATCAACTTTTCCTAATTTAATATTCATTGTGATTCTTCCTCTTATCTCCACCCAATTGGTATCCATAAGCTCTTCACAAACTCACCATAAAGCTACGCATCCCTCAAAACTTTTTTCTCATCATTCAATTGCGTTTCCAAATAAAATTCTTCAAAATTGAAACTTTTTTGATACATTTATCTTCTTTTCTTTTGAATATTCGAGCAGATATCGAGTAATACTGTAGAGAAGATTAAAAAACCTTCTTACGGATGATGAACAAGAAGCACAATCATCAAATGAACTTAAAAGACTAAAACTTTGTTCTTTTTTTGTTCTACTTTTTCTCCTTGAATGTTTCTTTTGAATTCACGTTGAACTACGTATGAATTTTGAATTGTGGATAATGTAAGCATGTTGAAGTGGATATTGATCCTTTGGATGAATTTTAGTTTGATTTTGAATGAGATTGAGCTGTTGAAGTACTTTGTAGTTAAATATTTCAAATTATATTAGCAATTTGGCAACTTTAGTGCTAGTTTAAAATTTAGAAATGTAATTTAAAACTTAGAATGATTGAAAGATAAGTCGTCATTTTTCAAACTATCATCAGCCTTGAATGTAATACCTGAATATAATAGCAGTTCCTATTCAAAAATTTAACATTCTGACAAAATTTATCTAAATTCTCTTTTGAACAAAGTTTTTAATCCGAAATCGAACATCTTTTGAGTTTGAATTGAAACTTTTCAGTTCTAAATCGATTTATTTTCTTTTCCATTTCTTCTTCTTTTTTTGCTTCGCTTTAAATAAACTTTCGCTTTCTGAATGCTTTTCATGCGTGCTTATTGCACTAAGTTCGTTTCTATGTGACTCAAATATCAAAACATTGAGAAAATTTATTTTTGGGTTGTTTAAGAAGTTTAAAAATGAAATTATAATGTGGGAAATTTGTCAGATTTTGGGCGAAAAACTTGATTGTCAAGTAAGGATGAACCGAGTGTTGGAAAGCTTATTTTGGGTTTTATAATTGGTTTACTTTATCTTCTAACGTAATTGACCAGCGAGCTATCTGTATTAAGGTGAAATCCTGTTTAAAATTCCAAAAATATTTCTCAACATGTCCTTGAAGAGATCTAAAAGCTGCTTAAATTCTCTTACAAACTTAAACCATGTGTAGGCCTTAACATTGACAAAGTTTTGGATCACATAAACTGATTAAGATTTTTTTTCCTTTTTTAGAACAAGATATCTCAAAAAAGACAGAAATAAAGTTTTTCGACCATGAAAACTCTGACACAGATCTTTAAACTCTTCAATTTATCATCTTGACGACACATTTCAACCTTTAATTCCAAAATGTTCTTGTTATTACATTTTAATTTAAAAAATTGAAAAAATTAGATTTGAAATCGAAAGTCTAATATTGTTTCTACTCAAAGAATGGAATCATATATGATATTGATTACATTTTGATTGAGATAAGTAGATTCTGAGAGATATGATTGAGGAACAAAGAATGATTGATTTCTATTTGCTCTTTCTGTCGAATGTGAAATCTAAGATGAGAATTTATTGATTGAGACTTGATAGAATTGGCTGTATGTGTTAAAAAAGAGTCTATGATTGGAGATGATGTTGTTAGATTTCGATGAAAAATTGGTGGTTTTTATTTGTGAAAATGATTTATTTTGGATGTTTTATCTTTGGGCATCAAAGGAGATTGGGAATGAAAAGAGTTCTGACGTTTAATGTTGTTATTTTCTTAAAAAGATTACTTTTGAGATAATTAAATTGCTTTTTTCGAAACCCCTCGATTCCGCTCGTGTTGTTCCACACTGCAACTTAGCAACTTTAATTTCTCATTGAAAACTTCAAACACAAGAGTCTTCAACAAAATTAAAAAAATTTCCGCATTAAACGTTCATAACACGGAAATATTGTTGAAATAATAGCGCATAAACACTCACTCATGTATGTACACAAGCGTCATGTTGAGGGAATAAATATTTTTTTTGTACTGAACAGAGTTGAGTTCTTGACTGTTCACAAAGTGAATCAAGTTTAAAGCTTGAAGATACAACATTTTACTTAGAACTAAGCAGTTGCAGCTGGGATAATTTCAACATTGTACATCACCCAACTCTGATTCTGTGTTACAAGAATACACTCGAGTATTATTCATGCATTACACTGTTGAAAATTAAAAATGTTTACATGCACAACATCTCATAAAAGTGGAAAATTGTTTGTACAAAAAATTATTAAATATTTTTCTCGTCACTGCTTGGTATTTTAACTAAAATGTGGTTTAGGAAACAAGTGTATTTGATGTAAGACACAAAGCTGATCATTCATTCAAATGCAATGATTCTTAAACTATGTTCTAGACATGTGGAAGGTTTCGAGATGCGGCAGAAGCTTTTGGAGTGACTTATTCAATTTCCTACTTAACTTAAGTCTTGAAATGTTGTTTAATTGAATTAATTTCAAGCTTTAAACATTAAATTTGCCTCCATCGATTCAATGAGGATCAAATTTAAAGATTTAAATCGATTACTTTGCTAAAACAACATCTCCAATCCATAATCAGCTTCGTTATTCCAAAAATAACATTCCTTCATCCCTTAAATTCACGAAACTTCAAGTACATCCATAATCAGTTCATTTTATATTCCAGAAAATTCCTTAAAAATCATTTGTCTTACATTATGTCTCTTTCCCCCATTAAACGCATCCGCTGAACATCTTCAGATTGTTCCTGACTATAATGCGAGTAAACACTCTCATTTTAAAATGAAAATTTATGCTTCAGTGATATCGAAACGCTTGACTTTTTCCACATCCTTTTTGTTCTTCATTCTGCTATTGTTTCCATTTCTTTATGCATAATGAGCTTTCTTCCTTATTCCCATGACAAAAATGACTTTAAAGACATTTTTATTCATTCGCATGGTTTTCTTACTAAGAAAAAAGCTTTAATTTACATAGAAGAAGATATTTTAATGCTGGAACATGCCTTTGATCCAGAAATGTTGTCAAGGGGAATGAGTTTTACATTATTTGTGAATTTTAAAGTTGCTAGAATTGCTTTAGATTTTGTTCGAGTGTGAAATTGACTTTTTGATGCGAAATGAAGAAAAAATGTCGGAACTAACTTTCAGCAACCAAATTAAGATGAAGGAACTCCGATATATTCATATAAGGTTGAATTTGGAAAGAATTGAGTCAAAGACAATCTTTGTGAGCAGAAATAATTAGATTCCAGAACTTAGTTTACGTAATTATGGATTTCACTTAAAACTACCATCAAATCTGGTTTCTAGGTTGAATTTGACTTATGCTGGATGTAAATTGAGGTCAAAATTGCTAAAACTAATATTCCGAACATTTTCACAACTGCTACTTAATTTCCATAAATACATTTTCAACAAATTAAGCACCAAACTAAAGCTTTTTCCTCTTATTCCCATTTTCATTGTCTCCCCAGTTCTCACATCCCACAAAGATAAAGAACAAGAAGAGTTATTTCCTTTCATCCCTTATGCATCATTAGTTTGAGGCTTTGTTGTCGTATCTAGTTTCTTGGGGATTACACAAAAACGAGACAATGATTGAAGAAGCTTTGGAAGTGAGCATGTTTTATGTCTTTTCATCAATCACGAACTGATAATAGCTTAGATGGATTTGACCAGTGTTTAACAAATTTCTTTGGTGTCATAAAAAATTGTGAAGTTTTTTTTTGTGTAGCTCGTCATTATCTTGCTGATGTGTCATACAAATAATTTCCGTATGTTGTACATGGAGGAGATAAGATTATGATAATTATTAATGCTGGTTTTACACATTTTTTTATCGATGTTTTGCATTAGTTATGGAAATAATTGTTTCCGTAGCTTTTTGATTAGATTAGAAAATAGTTTTTTATGCGATAAGCTGTTGAATTAATGGAAATTGAATGTTGAGTAGGTTTGCTTAACTAGTTTGTCAATATTTTGTTGTTATAGAGTTGGAAATGTTCGATTTGAGGGCTATTCCGACTTATGTTTATGAGTATCGTAGATTGAAAATTTTAAAAAGAATTAAATTGCTAAAATTTCCTTTAAACTTATTCAAAAATTCCCAAAATCCACGCAACTTTAATTTTATCACATCCTAATAATTTTCCAGATCAGAACAAAAAAAAAACATTTTCAAATCCACAAATTGAACATCAAAAGAAATAAAAATAAATAAATGGAAATGTAATTTTGCTGCTGCCTGAACTTTTGCATTTGTTTGTGAATATCAAATTTACACATATGAACATTTGTTGCTGCTGATTTTTATGTTAAAATAAAAAGCACGAGCAAATTTTACTCAATTTTTGTGCAGAAAACTTTTTTTTTGTGGAAATTCAATTGTTGTTCGGCTTTTAGAATTATTGGCTTTGTTGTATTTGTTAAGAATTTATTTCAAATGTACGAACTGCAATGTAAAATTTTCTGAATAGCAGCAAAAATTGGATTTATAGATTGGAATTTAAAACAAGCAGTTGAAATAAAAATAGTTTAAATCAATCATATCAATTTGAGGAATTGTTCACAATTGATGTCTTTGAAAAGTTATATTTGGATGCATTTCGTTCTATTTTAAAGAAATTGACAATACTTTAATGTTTATTGTGTCTGTGACATGAGCGCAACATTAATACACAACATTGCTGTGTTGCGATGAATTTTTTTGAAACTTTTAATTTAATATTCTCTCATTGATTCATTGCTGATTTTCAGGAGTATCTTAGAGATTAGAATGGTTGATTTAAAGAAGGACATCAATCACGACCCAGAATTCTCATCTCAACTGCTCCTTAGTATGAAATATCAGTATCATCACGTAAACTACACACTTGTTAATTTCCCTTAAAGACTAATATTCAGCCAAACAAACAATAATTTCAATTTTTCCAGCCTAAGACTTCCTAAATGCCTCTGAGAAATCATACATTCAAGTCTAACTTACACATCTAATTCAAAATAAAAATACATCCCATATGAATGACTTCCATATGAGTGAGCTTTACTCAACTTTTTTCTATTATATTCTAACGGCAAGAATGTAATCATCTGGAAACAAGAAAAAAAATTGTAGGCACATTTTGTGGAAGTGAATTGTGAGCTGAATATTTTTTAAAGTACATTTATCTGGCAGGCATGAAAAGGAACAATTCAAATTTATTGCTTGTTTTGACCTTCTTCTTGGCCTCTTTAAGATTCAACAGAAAAGATTATTAAGCTTGATGATAACAGCTGTCCGTTAAGACAAAGAAAAATTTCGACGGTGAAAAAGTCAAAAAGCTTAACATTTTCGGTAATAAAGAATCTCCTCAATGCCAATCTCTCACCTTTGATCTCTAAATCCATTCTAATGCTTTTGAGTAAGATGAATTTTATTCACTTCATTTTCATTTCAAGGATATCTCTCGGTTAAAACATTGAATGTCTTTAAAAGGATTTACGGATGAATGAGAAAATTTCGTTTGAAGTCTGCATTAGATAAGGTCAATCACTCAATAACTTTCTGACAGATTTGTATGGAAATTTTCGTTTTAGGAATTGTTCATTTATGATGTTTATGAATTTGGAGGTTAATTGGGGAGCATGAAGTGTGCTATGGAATGGGAATCTCTCTTGATTGACATTCTTTACTGATGCGCGTGCTTTTCTCCCCTGAGAACTGATCTAAATTAATAAAAAATGCCCAAAAGTCAGTTTACTAGTTTTGTAATGTTGATCTTTCATGCTGAATTGAGGGAAGGGATTTAAATGTATAGATAGGCATCATTTATGAACGAATCACTATATAAATCAAGAAGATGAAGGTTTGATTGAAATATCCCGAAACTCTGCTGATTTTATTGGAACTTTTGGATCCCGTTTTATTCAAATTAGATTTATTGATCCTATTCGAAACAAAATTCCAAACCTACCGAATAGCAAAAAGGATGAAAACAAGCCTTTGAAGTTTAAGTAAAACGCACTTTCTTGAATAAAGATAAAATCAACATTTTTCAACGTCTTCCATGTTGGATATTTCTTCAAATTCTTGCATATCTCACAACATCATAACGCAGACAAAGAAAATTAAAGTTGTCAATTGACATTGTCAGGATGATTTGAAAAGAACTGAAGCAAAAGTTTCTTTTTTGTCTCAATTTTTCTGACATTAAGCAGAATAAAATGGAAAATAAGTGCAATGAATGGAAATGGAAGGTAGAAAGTTTTATGAAGAATAGAGAAGAAAAATTAACTCTGCAGAAAAGTTGTGAATTAGAAAAGTTTAGAGTGAAATTTGTGTAGAATTTCGTATATTGACATTTTGATGGTTAGAATAAGGAAAAGATGGAGCTTGAGATTGAAATATATTGACCAGGGTAGTTTCGAATCTCATTTGAATGTCTAAAATGTTATAAGTCATTACTATTAAATTTTATATCTAAGTCTAATTCAAGCTTCTTCTCAATTCTCAATATTTTATAGCTTTCGTTGAAAATGAAGTTTTGAATCGAATTAAAGGATTTGTACGATTCATCATAAAAAGATTAAATTGAAAATAATTTAATTAGTTTGAATTTTAAAATAAATCTTAAAAGATTCCAAAATGCTTATCTTCACCTCGTTTTAAAATTCGAGTGCTTCTGAGCGGTTTTATAATTTTTCAGTAATTAGTACCAAGCAACAGGGTTTAATTCAACTTATTTTGATACAAAAATAATTTTTCCGAATTAATTTTATTAAAATAGCTTTAAAATTCAAACTCAATGACTTTCGGAAATTCTTGTAATCCTCTTAACTTTTAAATCTGACTAATTTTATTCCACATGAATTATCCTTTTTATTCATCAATTAAAAATAAATTAATTCCTACGCATAAACCACAAACAACCTAAAGTTGTATCTTCTTCTAGCTCTGCCAGAACTGGATCTTTTCAATTTTAATCTTTAATTCCACATAATTTCATTAAAACGTGTTGCAAAAGCATTTAAATTAAAAAAAAGAGATTTTTTCCTGCTAGAAGAAATAAGAATTGTGTACTTAAAAGCTTTTGTGTCTGATAATCATAAACTTTCATAGTCTGCAACTCAAATTTGCTCTTCAAGCGATTTATTTTCTTCTGAGAATTTAATGAGTTTTTGATGTTATTGATAAATCATAAGGCAGTGCTTTAGGGTGATAATTTATTGGATTTCTGTTAAGGAGTTCAAGTGGATCAATAATAAATTGAAGATGTAATAAGAATTTTCTGTGAAAAAATTCGTAAAGTTGGTCAATTTATTGTTAAGCTGGAAGCTCAAAGTTCTCCTTAATTTCAAAGTTTTGGCATTATTCATCCACAAAATCACCTCAAAGCTTTAATAAAAACCAACTGTATGTCTCAAATCGTACAGATTTGTCACTAAAGCACCTCAAGAACTTTCTAGAAGATAAATAAATTCTTTCAAAAATAAACTTGAATTTTAGCTCAAGAATCAACAATTTTAATGAAATTTCCTACGAAACAAAACGCCATTGGACATAAATTACTGAACAGCAAAAAAAGTTATTGTCTACATTAAAAATGCCTTAGAAATTTCACAGAAAACAGCATCTAGAATTAAATTAAAAATACCCTTGATATTTCCTAAGTAAAAGCATCTTCCAATTATTTCCTAGAATCCTTTTGAGCAACTTCCCCTTCATTCTAATGTTGTCATCCAAATGTCTCTTCATTCATTCTGCAGAATAAACTTGTAATCTGTTTACATCTTCAATAAAAAATTCGACAACATTTTGCGACATTAATTCTGTCGCCTTTAAATTTACTTATCAAGTAAATCCTTAACATTCAATAAGATACATGCGAGACGTGAATGTAGAAAAACCCGAAATTAAATTTTAATATAAATTTTTTTAATTTAAAGTAAGAGAGATGCGATATGTTAAATGAATTAAATTAAATGTTTAAGATTGCTTTAGAAAGTTTTTAAATGTTCTTGAATTTTCTACAGCCCGAGTAACTTAATGTGGCTTCCAACTGGAACCTTATTTTAACTTTGAGGTTTTGTAGATTCAAAAAAAGTTTTCATTAAAACTTTAGAAAAATGAATATGGATTTATGAGGTTTAAGGTACAGGATAATAAAGGATATCAAACCATATGTTCTATGGTATATGGGCAAATCTGTCAGTTCGAAACTAAAGCAAGTCATTTGAGAACAGAAATGAATTCTTAAATTGTCGCCTTTGCTAAGATGTGTAGGTTCGATTCCTATCAAAATCCTAATCTATTAAGGGGTCGTTCACTTATGACGTCCGAAATTAACGGTCATTTTTCAGGAATTTGACCCCTTAGGAAATTGAAATTGAACTCCCCCTCGGAAGTCATAAGTGAACGGTCTTGTTAGGGTTTCCTTTAATATACCAACAAAGGTAGCTAGTCGTTAAAATATACTAGCTCAAATGAGCATATTCTTTGTAAATTAGAAGCATAGAATGTTGTCGATCTGCTCAAAACATAACAATTTGTAATGACATTCCAGCAAGTTATTCAAAACGCTTTAGAGTTCCGCAGGCACTTCTACATGCAATGTTACAAGTCCTTCCAAAATTAAATTTATCTGAATATTCTTCTCCATGCCTTTATGCTACAACATTTCAAACCAAACAAATTTCTGCACGGACAGATTCATATTAAATTTACTTTAAGCATTTATCAAAAGCATGCAGCAGCCGCTTGTTTCTCGGAAAAAAGTGTTTAACCTGTCGTTTATGTACCGCACCACATTAATTCCAATGAAAATGTTCGATGTGCCATAAATACCATTAATACGATTCCTACACACAAAATGAGGAATCGAAATCTTGTTTTTCAGGATGATTGAGGAAAAAAAAAGGAATGAAATGAACGGATAATGTTATGAGTATTAAATCCTATTACAGTCAGATTGTTATGTCGGGTAAGTTGTCAGGAAAAAGAAAATTTTGTTATCGTGCATCAAAAAAAAATGTTTTTTTTTTTCGTTACGACAACGGAATCAATTCTCACCATTATATTCAGGAGTACCGTAAATAGCATGTGGTTGTTCAATGTGTGAAACTGTAGATTTTGGTGGTCCATACGATTCGTATGTGACTGGTTTATTGTCATAGTTGTCGAATGAGTTTGTATATGTAACTCCATGACCATGATCGATGGCTGCATCTATTCGAGAAAAAGTTTTTCGATTTCTTTTTCTGAACTAAACTTTTTGTCTTTTTTTCATTCTCACAGTTACAAGTGTGATTTGGATATGGAAAAAAGTGTACAGCTACTCTATAATTATAAAGGCATTCAATACTCACAATCTCCATGTGATGTGTATCCATCAGAGTGTCCATTGCTGGAATGTCCACCGCTGCTTCCATGTGATGATGATCCGGCTGATGAGGCACCTGATGCACTTGTGATTCCACTTGATGAACCAGCTGATAGACTTGTGATTGACTTTGTTAATCCTCCGAGTGAGTTACCGATGGCTTGTCCCAATCCACTGGAAGTAATGAAGATAAGGAAAATTTTAGATTATTTGGAGGTTTTGAAGCTTTAATCATTGAAGGGACCAACAGTTATGTACATCTTCCGACCTCAGAGCAAGCTTCAGTAAAAATAATACAAGATATAAATGCTTACCCTCCAATTGAACCTCCTAATGATCCACCGAATGAACTTCCATGACCACCAGCTGAGTATCCATGTCCAGCATCATGTTCTGGCTTGATCAAATGAGCTGAAGCAACGATATTTTTACCGGCATTTGAGACAGCATCACCACCTGATTGAATGAGCTGGAAATGTTAAAAAAAATTAATTAAAAAATGTTTAACCTCAAAATTTTCTCATTCATGTCAAAACCACAGGCACAGTGCTTACTTTTCCCTTTTGTGTGACCAAGTAACCGCTTCCTTTGATAAGTTGTCCTTGCAATGTTGTAACACCACCAGCGATTGCCTTCACAGCTTGTAAAAGTGTATTAAGGATTGATTTCTTCAAAGACCATCCATCAAAAGCTTTTGTATCCTGTAAACAAAAATTAAGCACAGCATGAAATATGGGAACAAAAGAAGCAACTCAAAAATACCATATTAAAATGATGAGGAACAAGAAAAAGCCAGAAAATGTAAAGCCTTGCATATGACTCAGATATGACATTTTTTCAATATTTATGACATGTGATATTGTCACATGTAAGCACAGTCGAATAGCAAAGAATGTTGAGTGAGGAGTTTTACGAATTTACATTTACATTGTAGCGCTTCTGAATTGAAGTGATTTGAAATGGTGATTGGGAAATTTCCGATGATGATTAAAGTTCTGAGGAACTCGTTAAGGATTGATTGCGTTTTTTTATGTTCTTTGGAATTAGGTCAAAAAGAATTTTGTGGTGGACTGGGAAAATGATTTGTCATTTTGGCTTATTCATACTAATCTTTATGAATCCGTCAGTGCAATTTTAAGGTCTCGGTAACCCATTGGCTAGGCAACGAGTTTAAAACCATGAAATTTTTTTAAGCACGTGAGTTCGATTAATTTACCCGAATAGCACAAGTTGGTAGATCGAATAAAAATTACAAAGCCCAACCGAGATGACTCTGGCATGATTCGATTTAAATCCAGCACCACGAAAGAGTCATATCGGCTTGGTGCCGGATTTCTTATCGATTAACTTGTGCTACTCTTACTTATAAAAAATATTTATGTGACATTCCCAAACCGCTTATATCTAAACCTTAAAAGCTGAAAGCATTTTTGAACAAAAGCACACTTGAACAATATAAGGCACGTGTCATTAAATATGTAAATATTTGGGAGTATTGTTATACAAAAAGCTGCAAGGACTGTTTTAAACTTGAATGAAAATATTCCTTTGGGGTTGTAACTCGGTCGATTTGTTATGTTTTTACAAAAATTCTCGTTCTAAGCAGTTGAAACAATTTCCATCAGCATTTTCCAGGTATTTGAGTTCATGATCTTTGAGATTATGTTACTGACTCTTTGAAGAATATTTCCAGAGGGAAATTGAAACTTTCCATAAAATTTTATTGACTTTTATAACATTATGATCATTATTGAGCTCAGTAAGGTTAGGAAAACTTTGTATTTTTGCTTATGGCACTGGATGATTGCTATTTGACTTGCAGTTTTTCAATATTTTGCCTGAGAATCTTCGCAACATCTCTAAAAGAAAGGATGTCCAAATTCACGATCTACTGAGCGCTTCTAGCTAAAAATGATCTAAACGACATTTTCGCTCTCTTGCAGCCTAGAAGTTCGAAGTTCTACATCATCAGACTACATATTCAGAATTTAATACTTTAAACCCAACATAAGGAATAACTTAATAAAATTGTCAAGAATAATCGTGACAAGGTCAAAGATATCAAAAGCACACTCAGCAATTTATACCTATTGTTCTGATCCAACAATAAAAAAATGGTATGTGCTATTGAAAAATTGTTTTCTTATGGAATTTTATTGCGTATTTCAGTTTCTCTTGCTGCTGTCTTTTTGGTAGACTTGTGGTGTTGACAGGTAATTTTTGTAATATTTATTGACTTGATTCTTTGTATTTAATATGAGACTCTTTGATCTTTGTGTCAAATGCATGCATAAAGCATCAACATTTGATACTTTAAGTATAGAATTATTTTACAAACTTTTTTTCAAGTTCAATCCTACACATTAATTCATTCACATTCTCAGTCAATTCAAAATTTATAAGCGATTCCATATCATTTGATGATTTATTCACAGACACCCAGGCGACATAATATTATTGACATTTTATTCCATATTTAGGCGGAAAAGTAAGAAGCTTTACTTATGTCATCCGATTTTCAATGAATATGTTTGAATGGTATAGAAAGAAGCGGTAAATGATATTTGAGGAAGAATTTTCTGCGACGTATTTTTTAAGCTTTGAAAAGATTTAAAAGTGAAGTTTTTTTTTTGAAATATTTGTAAATATAGATGATGCTATTTACTCAAGAGCTTAGGTATTAAGGAAGCGATGGCAGAGTCGCCATTAGTCTGGCTTCTTCTGGGTATTTTTTTGTATCATTGAATGTAATTGATGGTAAATAAATGCTGAAGAGCATAATGCTATAGAATTTGTGCATTCATTGAAAATTTCCATAAAATCTGAGTCTATTCCAAGCTCTGCTTAAAACCACCAAAATGACAAGACAATTCTATTAAATAAAGCTTGAACCACAAGATTTCAATTTACTCTCGTCCTTAAAACCACAGCTATATAGCACGAGAAACCAATTCAACCACAAACCCACAAATTTATCTTCTCCATTCAGTCACAATCCTTAAATCAAATAATTTTATGTCTAATTTTAAAAAAAAAAAGCCTTTGGAAGTTCTAGAAACCAGCCTCTAAACATCAGTTACATCAAAAATCCCTTCAAAATTTCCACAAGGATAAAATTTCTACCAAATTTTAATTAAAATCTACCTCTGGCTTCCTAGACAAAAATTAATAATGAGCAAAAGTTCTCATTAGTTATGCATGATGCTTTTAAGCTTCAACATCTTGAAAGGTTTCTCGCATCAATGGCATTTTAAGTAGTTGACACTGTTACTTCATTAAATAATCATTTTCTTATACTTGACAAATTTGTGAGTAGATTTTGCGTGATTGTGGCTTGATATAAGAATTACTTTTCATGTTGTTGATGCTGTGCTCTTACATGTCAGTAAGTCTCTACTCTTCTTAGTTGAAGAATGTTAACAATTTTTATTAAAAAATATTATTATCATGAGTAACGTGGTCGGGAGGCAATTTATGGATCTTAAGGTTAAGATTGACTGGATGTTGAGCTATAAAGTTGAATGGACCAACCTGATTTAGAACAAAAATTGCACAAATATTATCAAAATTGACCATTTCAACTTCACTCATTAAATACTCAACAACTATCTTATAAACTCATTCTTATCCCTGTCCACAACTATACACAGTCTCAGCTTTGAAGTGCTTTGAATAATAATGAAAGAAGAACATTGACGAGAGAATGTAATGACAACTTGACAATATGAGCAATACCAAGAATTTATTCACGATTCAAAAACGCACATTGAATGTTTTCATCAAGTTGGATAGGAGGTTGAATAATTTTTATTCTGTAAGCACATACGGTATGAATTATTTGAACAAACTTGTTTGGATTATGAAAATATTTGCAAAATTTAATTTTGTTTGGATGGGATTATAGGAAGTAGAAGGAGGGTTGTTGTACAATTTTTATTGGATGTTGCGTGGAGGATGATGAAAGATTTTGTATTTTATTGCTGGCAATGACATAATTTAATGACGTAATTTTATAGGACGAATCAGGTATTTAAATTGCCACATAATGCAGACAATATATTCGAAATTTATTGTGCTATTTTAATCGAAATTCATTTGTCCATGTCAAAACTATTATCAATGTGATCAAAATCGGCAATGCTTATTGGAATTTTCAATTAGTGAAAATGGTTTGCAATCATATGTAGCTTGATTTTTAATTGAAACAATCAATCATAATTCTCATTGGCAATTTCTGAAAATTATTGAGGATTAATTTTGATTATGTTTTGTATTTATGGAAGTTTGGAATCTAAATCAGCTTTAGGAGAACCCCGGCAGACACAAGACTACATTTGGGAGTCATAAAGAGTTGTATCATAATTTTTAGATTACTTTGTGTTGCCAGGGATTTCTACCTATTTATTAATATCACATAAAACCTCATCATCATTGCATTTCTTCAATGAATCACGATTTTTGTCCATTTGCATCATATCCTCAAAAAAATTCTCATACAGGATGCTACATAAAAACTTATTACAAGTAACTTACGTGATGTTCATCATAATCATGACCATATGAGTGTGAATCGTGTCCAGATCCTCCAGATGATGCACCTGATAAACCTGCAACTCCACTAGCACTTCCTTGTGATAATGATGCTGATGCACTGAATGCGCTCTTTTGAAGAGACTAATTTATGATTCACATTAGACATAAATTTTATTTTCATTCCATTAAGTTCGTGCTTACCTGAATAACTCCACCGAGTGGTGCTAATCCAGATCGTTTCGTTCTCTCTGCTTCTGCTGATGATGATTCAGCTGAATTCTCAGCACTTTCCATGAGTGCAACAGGTATGAGGGAGAGGATGATAAAGCATGCAATCTATAAAGAATAATTGAGTAAGGTTGAATAATAATGAAAGGATGTAAGGAACGTAATAGCATGTAATGTAACTCGTGCAGTGAAAGAATTTTATGTTTTTGTACTACAAGCAGCATTAATAACGGATAGAATGCATATGCAGGAAAATGCAATTTTATGCAGCATAAAGCGTCATTCTTTACTACAGCTTTTTTAATGTTTATGTATCCATGATTTAAAAATGAAATACTATGCTGCATGTGAATGTGAAAACACTTGCTCTAGTTTAATAAGGAAGCATGTTTCAAGACATTTGCACTTTAAAAAAAATTCCATAATAAAGAAAATGACAAAAAATATTGAATAATTGAAATTTGCATTGATATTGCTTCGTGAAAACACCTTGCCTTGGTCCAATTTTTGTAAAAGGTGCAAAATGTTTTGGCACGTGAGAAATTTAAAAGCTTTCGTTACAGGATAATTTTATTTGCTGTTCTGATTAAATTTGATTGAAGTATGTATTTCAGGTATGGTAGTGGACCCTTGGAAACATGAGTCAGCTCTTATTAAGGGTTCTTTAAAATAGCAACTCAATATATAGCTTGAGTACTGCAAACTTAGTGTATTTTAATTAAATATCAAAATACATGATGAAACATCATCAACTACCTCATCTTATTTCAATCACATCATTAAAAGCATTTTGAGGAAAAATCTGCTCATTGTCTTCAAAACTTCCTCATTTTCCTAACTTGAACCTTTCAGTAACTTCGAGCTTCATGTAAATTTCCAACAACAAGACAAACTTAACAATCTTCATCGTCAACGGCGATAAAATTTCAACTTTTATGACTCACACGTTGTTCTTATAAGAAATCGAACACAAAGTGAAGAAGCCTTACATCTCAAGTACATGAAACTTCTTCGGATAGAATGAGAACATTTTCTTTCCTTTTTGGGGCGTTCATAAATGATGTTTATCTAGAAACTCCATTATTGTAGATTTGGTATTTTTCCATACAGAACAATAACGTAAAAATCACTCAAAAGACATCATAAATGAATAAACCCTTGCTGCACCAAATGCTCAGATTCGTTTTACCTTGTAAAAGTTTAAGTTACAACTGTGCATGAGAGTCATTATTAGTGCAATAAAGTTCTTTTTATTTTATAAATTTCCCACTTCCGAAAAGTAGTTTAAACTTAATGAGCAACTAGAGATCGATTAATAATGCTGATTGTGAGAAGTAAGGCAAGAATGCAGTTATTTCTGATTAAAACTGCTGTCAAGGTGGTACGTGTGGATATTTTTAAAATCTTTGGTATTTTTAGATTTAATTTATTTTTTGTTTGCTTTTATTTTCTTAAATTTTGCGCCAAAGAAGTTTAAATTTTATCTTTGACTTCATTCGCCTACTGTTAATGCCATAGCGTTTGATACTTTGGAGATTTCACATTCCTTTGACAAAAAAAATGAACTCAAAGGTTTAAGAAAATTACATTTTGATCAACAGAGTTACTTTTAATTTCGAACGCTTTTCAAAAAAGAATTTTTCACCATGACAAAAAAAATATTTTAATGCTTTCAAAGCAGCCACAAATTCTATCTCGACCTCTTGGTAATAAATAACTTGACAACTGTGCATCAACCTTTGATATTTTATTCTCAGAATGTTGTTTTGCATGTAAAGCTTAATAATAGCATTCAATTAAGCATAGATACTGTAGGAAGTTATGTAACAATCTTGTGAAACAGTTGATGACTTATAAATTTCTTATGACAATTTTTAATGACATCAAAGGTGGCAATTAAAGCTGTTATACAATTTAGACTTTGAAGTTAAAGGGATCTACAGAAGATGTCTGTTTCTAGGCTGCATTAATGTGTGTAAAATTATTTATCAAAAGTTTCGTAATTGTTCTTAAATTTCGAGACTATTCTTTATTGCAGTGACTTTTAAGCTATATGTCGCGCCACATGCCACGCTTCTTATGATCACTAGCAAGTTGAAGGAGTTTTACAGGTGTTCTATTAAATCCATAAAATGTAAGATAATGTGCAACAATCCTTAAAGGTCAGAAAGTATCTTAACCTATACATTGGTTAGTGACACTTTTAATAAATTCACCAAAAATACTACATATATCATGAGATATAAGCTATGATAATAAATGCAATTAAATTGCACCATAAAGTATGACAATAAATGCATAAAAAATATCTGTGTCCAATTTATGTGCATTAATGCAAGAAAACTGCAGAAAATCCTTGGAAATTAATGAGGCAAGCAGAATTGAAGAATAAAAAAAGTTTTCATCATAATATCGACTATCTATATAAGTGCAGTTCTCATGACTACTTTAGAGTCAAGTGCTGTTATAAACTAAACAATTGAGGTGGAATTTATTACGAATATTGGTCACTTTTTAGTGTATAATCAGACATTAAGTGGAACATTTCAGCTGAACTTATAGATTAATATTTTATTGCGGTCAATGGTAGCCATGACTTGCATCAATTTATATATTGCCAATGTCAAAAAGGTTTGAGAAACACTGTCTAATGTACTCAAATTTCTTTGTTAGAATTCATCAAAAATTTATTAAAACTTTCTTCAATTTCTCTTTGTCAGCGACTATTCTTATTTGACAGAAGCTTCTGGACTTATTTTATTTATTTCCATTTCTATTAAAACGTGGAAACTTTCAAGAAGCACAATAGATCAATTTTAATTTATTTTTCAAGTGAAAGATTAATATGAATACTGAATGCAATTCTCCTGCAAACTTTAGTTCTTCCTCTTGGTCTTTTGTTGATGCTGTAAGAGTTTTGTTTTACTTTTTCTGTTCGTTGTTGTGATTTTTTTGTGCTGATTTACATTTACTTTTTTATGCAAATTTTTAAAGAACTAGAAGGAGATAAACGAATTCGTCTCGGTTACTTTATTTTGATTTAATTTTTTTGAGGAACTTTAACGTATGACGTCTAACAGAGAATCTTTTTGTACTGAACCTAGTCAGAGAAGTAACTGGCCATAGCCTAAAGTTGGTATACGTTCTATTTAAGGAACTGATTCCAAAGGTAGGACGTGATGATGTTCTCAAATTCTAAAAAATATTCCATTAAAAATCCTCAAATATTAGTATACAACTTAAGTCTATCTTAATCCATAAAATAAGTACCAAATTGTCAAGATAAGAACATTTTCATTGTGAGAAAAATTCCATCCTTATAAACTATTTCTTTTTTCCTCAAATTCTTCCAATTTGTTTATGTTTTTTTCACATCGTATCCGAAATAGAATAAAGAAGTATGAGCATCCACAACCGGAACATAAAAAGGTAAATGCTGAATTTTAAATTGTAAAAGAAGATAGAACTAGCAATGTCAACGATAAATTAGATATTCAGGAGAGCACTTATACCTCTTTAAACATCATGTCGTTCCTTCTGCACAATTTCACACGGATGGTAAAGTTAATGTTTACGGTAAAATGTTTATCATTTCTATTTATTTGGTTTTGAAATGTCCTTTGAGAGCATTCCATTTTGGATATTTCGAGAATTTTGTGGGGAGAATTTCAATTGATTGTTGTTGATAGGATGGGGGATTGTCTAGGTTATGGTTGAAGATGTTTGTGGATAAAATTTTAAAAATTCTTAAAGATTCCAAGAAAATGGATAGAAATTCAATGGAATCATAAACAGAAGCTCAGTGAATTAAAAATTGACTAGTAAAAGTCTTCAATTACCCCAAAAGTTTACTCGAATTCTGTCACTTCTGAAGGTCTCATTATTGCTATTAAATTTCACTTTCCCAATCGACATTGAGGTGTCTTCTGATTTACAAAAAAAAAACTAAAGTGACATACTTATCTAGTGAAATGCATGAATTGGATATAATGTGATGATATTAAGCGACCAAAGAATAAATCTTGAGTTTTAATGGAATATCTTGTTGCTCGTTGAAATACCCTGCTTTCGAGAAGGTTGTTGATGTCCTTGAAATTTGAAGCTTTTTTTAAGAAGTTTTTTTGGGATTATTTTAAAAAATGCTTTTTTTAATTTTAAAATTGAAGAAATTTAAAAGCGATTAACTTGAATGTAACAAGCTCGGCATGGTTTAATTACTGATAATTGATACGCAATCGTGCATAACACGGAAGCACTTAACAGAATGATTTATTTTAATTTACATATTAAAAAATATGAAGTTGTTATGCATATTGAAAAAATGGGTGCAAAAAGGTTTTACAGCTTCATTAAATATTTCACGAATGCTGTTTCCAATCACGTTGAGTGAATGACGGACATTACTGCATTCAGACAAATTTCATCGAATTTTCATTTATTGTTCAAAATTCATCAATTAACGTTGCAGCGATAATTAAAGTTCAGAATTTAATTTTTGAATTTCTAAATTGAAATTAAATTCGCATGTGGGTGTCAAGTTCTGTTATGAATTTCATATAATCTTATATTCAAAATTATTGTAAACCAATTATAATTCCAAAAGACTAGCCCATTCATTCACAATTTGTCATTATTAATTTTATAAAATTCCTATTAAATTTATTAATAAATTTATTACCAATTAATGATGCTTAATCATGTCAGTATCAACATTTCTTCATGAATCACCTCTCTTTTTCATTGACAATGTCCAGCAGCTTGTCATATCACCCAAAAAAGGGAAAGGTAGAAGGTGAAAGATACGTAAAAGGTATTGCAAAATGACAAAAATGTCATTTGTGTTGTTTTTAACCCAATTATTTGCTCTGATTTTATTTCATAATATTTAACAGTAAACATATTAATGGACAATCAATGCTGGGATTGGATGTAGTTATGGGACTCATGTTTTGTGAATTAAAGCTCAGATCGAGTTGAGGAGCTATGATATGAAGATATGAATAAAAGGCACATCTGATAAAATTTTAACGAGTTTAAATCACCGACTAATAGTCTTAGTTGACCTTCTTAAAGTATTTAATAGCTATCCTCCTTTCGAATTCCAACAA